TTATTTTACAGCAAGCCAACATTTCAGTAAACTTTAACTCTTAAAGCTCTGTTTCCTACCTAATCAAAAACCTAACAGTGGAAAACACAAGAAATTATGTTGATAAAACCCAATAATCTTTGTTTTTGAAGCTAGGTTTTGTAAGTTCAGCCATGAGCATTTAGTATCCTAAGAAATCCTTTAGATACAGAAAGCCCATGACTTTCTAATTATATCTAACTAAATTATATATAATAATAATTTTTAATAATATCTTCTGGGGTGGGACTCAATAAGACTAAGGAGAAAAACAGAGAAATAGCCCATCAGTGGAGAAAACTGAAACAAATTGTTTCAGGCTGCTAGTTTTCACTACAGAGCAGAGTTTTGTTTGGTAGCATTTCAGACCCAAATGTGCCCACTCAGGAGAAACTTTATTAAATATCATTTTAATATAAAAGCATATTAGAAATTTAACTCTTAGTAAACTTTTAAAGAAGCAATCTTAAACCTTCATATATATTAATTATTTATGAAAACACATTTAATAGACTAAAATATGTAAACTTTTCATAAACTTTAAGAAGCCAAGAACACTTGAATTTATATCTAGCAATTGATTTGCTCAGATGCTGGTACAAAGATTTATAAGCACGAATCTTATTTATGTGCATGTATTCGGTCATTTTACAACTATTTTATGTTATTTATGAGAGCTAAAGCATAGCATGGTTCATATTTTAACATCTTTAACCAAAGGACAACTCTTCAGAAAGGACAACTTTTCAGTTTTCTCCATACACAGAAAACAATGGACATTGTATTTTTAAAAACAGTTTTCAATTCCTCTGTGCACAAGATTTATCTCCTGACTTCCTATTTTCTGTCTTTTAGTTTGGTTTTTATTTATGTTTTGTGTTTCCTATACAAGAGAGACCGTATACTATTTCAGCTTGTGCATCTGATTTATTTCACCTAACATTATGGTGTCAATATGCATCTATTTTTTCTACAAATGACTCAAGATTATCCTTCTTTCTAGCATAATAGTACACCATTACATATTAATGTCACATTTTCCTTATCTATTCATCTGTTGATGGACACAGAGGCTGCTTCCAAGATTTAGCTATTATGAATTTTGCTGCCATAAATGTGTCACTGTAACATGATTCTTTTAAACCTTTTGGGAAGATATTTATGAAGGAAATGTTTGAGTCAAATTCACTGTTTTGTTTCACTGTTTTGAATAATCACTGGGCTGATTTCTATGTACTACAAACATGTGCTAATAAAAAATTGAAAGAAATTCAAGACAAATATTGTCTTGATTGGTTAACAATCTGAACAAAAATATATCACCAACATTATATTTACTTTTAACTTATCACCCAACTTAAATGAGATTACTGTTAAGACATGCAAACAAGTGCTTCAAAGGATACAACTGCAAGTGTGTTTAGGTGTGTAAGATAGATGACCATATTACTAAGTTTTTGTTGGATCATTGAACAAAACGGTTTGCAGTCTCACTGTTTGAACGTCCACTTTGTATGCTTTAATTTTGTAACTTGAACAACTATTTCTAAGATGACAATATGTAATCTATTAACTAGTGATTTCTTTTTATTTTTTTCTGAAATTCTGTATTATTTGTACCCTTTTATTGTTTTGTTTTTTTTTTTTTTCTCTTTAAATAAAATTTTTAAAGAAGACATGCAAACAAAAATATTTGGGCTAATATCATGAAAGTTAAGACACAAAAACATACATACTAACCTAAGTCATATAATCTTTATGTTGTCAAGTTTCATGGTTCTTATTTGCAAGATTTTTGTAAGCTCTTAGCCCAGAAATTTTCTCTTTAATTTTTTAAGTGAAGTTGATAATTTTTGAATATCTGCATTGCCATTATTTTTGATCACCCTAAGAGAACCTGAAGTCTTTAGAAGTAAAAATAAAAAGAATGAAATTTTTAAGAGTTCCAAACATTTTTACAATTAATAGCTGCAGATATTTTAACCAATTATTAAAGACAGATTAGCAGGCAGACAAATGGGCAAGAAAACATACAGGAGACTATAACAATTGCAATAAATCAAAGTATACCTTTAGATATATTGGCAATTTTAAATTATTATAATCTTTTTCTTAGCTATAGATTAGTCAGAATTCTCCCTTGAGTGTATTAACTAGAGCCTTTAGTACTATAAATTATAACAGTTTTTTCTTTAATACTGTAAGCTACTCTGAATACTTTTTTTCCCATGTTAGTTAACATGATGAATTTATAGCTACAAAATCAGAAAGAGGAAAGGAAAAAAAAAGGCTATAGATTGTGCAATGGGATCCTTGTTCACTTTCCCTTTATACTACAACACCAAGTTTGAGGTCCTGTCTTTTTACTGTTAACTGCATTTAGAAAAATGTAGAGAAAAATTAAGTCAGTCTTTCTCTTTCTTTTTCTTTCTTTCTTTCTTTCTTTCTTTCTTTCTTTCTTTCTTTCTTTCATCTTTCTTTTCTCCCTCCTCCACCTCCTCCACTTCTTTTTTTTTTTTTTTGATTCAGGGTCTCACCATGTACTACTGGCTGGCCTTGAACTCACTTATGTTGCCCAGGTTGGCTTCAAACTCATGGTGATTTTCCTGCCTCAGCCTCAGTGTTGGGATTACATGCTTGTGCTACCAGACCCAGCTTCCTTTCTATTTTAAATTTGTCCCAATTTTTGTTTATATTGGGCCAGATCATTAAAGGAGAAGAGAATATGTACTCTTATAACAGCACATTCAGCATTCCAAGTCTTCTCAAACAAATGCATATTAGGAGGTTTTGAAGCAGTCAGCTGGTGCTGCTCCTTGTTAAGCCAGAAAGCCTGGATTCCTTAGGTAGCAGGGGACAGAGATTTGATGGGATGCAGTGAGGGAAATGGCCCTGGGAGGGGAGAGGGGAGAGAGAGCAGCTGAGCTCCGCCCAAGCCTTTGGGGGCCTCCGGAGCCTCTACTGTTTCCGGCACCATCTCCAAGCATTTGGAGAGACTTTGGGCTCTCAAGAGCTCGTCTTCTGCAGAGTCTGGTTCTGTTTGGACTGCTTCCGTTGGCACATGGGCATAACAGGTTGCACAAGTTCCACATAATTTTGGACCATTGTATAAGGGCATAATCATCTGGACATACAGGGTTTCTGTCCATTTTTTTTCATCTGTCTTACCAAGCAAACTGGCATGTTGTATTAAGATTTAAAGTTCTGTTTGGAAGCCACTCTCCCTACTTTTCAGTTTTATACTGAGTCCAAGCATAATTGCAAAAGAAACATCTTTTTTTATTTTTAAATCCTCCATTTCTAACAGTCCTCATTTCATAGAATACAACTGAAAGGTCATATTTCAGGGATAAATACTGAGTTACCCGTACTCCAGTAAGGTGCAGCATGTAGCTCTGTGACCTTTCAGAAAGAGACAAAGAAAGGGGAAAAAAGGGGGTGGCTGAGGATGGGAGTATCCTATTTAGGTCCCTGAGGTCAGATCTCCCAAGCAGTTTTCCAAGGATTCATGTTCCATGTGCATCCCATCCCATTTTCTGTTGTGACAGGCTAGATGTGTCTGCCAGTCAGGTAGGAATCTTCCCCCAAGATCAAGTAACACTGACCAGTCCTGCTGCTGTCATGTCCAGGAGCAGCACCCCTGCCTCTGACATACAGTTACCCAAACCTTTGTTAGTAGATCAGAAAGGCAGGAAAAATCTTGCATGATAGTTGGGATTTGCTAAAAGAACCCCCCCCTTCAATCTTTATATCTAGGGACGTATAATACATGTAAGGAACTCCGAAACTCTTTTTTTATCTGCAGAGTTTATGCCTTTTGAATTTGAGAATAAGGGAGATGGGGAGGCATTTAAAGAGTAATTTAGAGGTTCTCTTTTATCTGAAATCTATGTGTATGATTTTAGGAGGCCTCTGCTGTTATAGTTTGTGTCTGGATGCCCCACATGAGATTATAGAGCTTTTTCAGAGGTGGCTGCATCTAGTGTGTGGTTACTAACACAGTCCACTGATTGGTCCACTACCCTTATCCTTGTAGTCTAGATAAGATAAATGGGGAAGAAAGATGCCATTAAGGTCTTTTGTTGTTTTTTCTGTGTTCTTCCACCACGAACAGTTTTCCCTCTGCCAGGCCACCCTGCCTTGGAGCAGAGGATCATGGACTGAAACTTCTGCAAACTGTAAGCTAAATAAACCTTTCCTCCTTTAACTTGAGAGTTGAACATTTTGTCTCAGCAATGTGAGAAAAGTGACTGAGACACACCCCAAAGGCTGGTCCATTCCATGGGGTCTCAGGACTAGTTTCCCATGAAGCCTACCTAAGCATCTTTGTTTGAGACTCTTGATGGATCTCTTCTTTTATGTTATTCTCCAGTGACCAAATTTTAGCTCCTTCTGCCCCAAGAATGGAGTATGTTGACCCAGGGATTAATTAATGAGGCACTACATATCTTAAAGTGCCCCTCTCAAAACCTCTTGTCTTCAGTGCTTTCATATGTAAGTGCATTGATTTTTCTTGGGACTTGGGAGCCTCTAACTGCTAAAAACAAACAAACAAAAAAACATCTAAAACTGCAGGGATTTGCATAAAGGGAAAAAGGAAAAGAAAAAAATAGAAAAGTAAATATCTACATGTCAGAGGGCAAGAGTTTGTTGAAAGAAGGAAAAAAAGAATGAAAAGCCTTTGGCAGGACTTACTGAGGTCCTGGTCCTGATGCCTCCTTTACTCCTACCACTGGCTTGGCTTGAGGAAATCTCACCAGACAGACTGAGGAGTTTCTGGAAGCTGAGATAAGAAACCTAACCTGCTCCACCCATAGAATAAGTTTCCGTGTTTGCTGACTCCTGCTATAAAAACAATTTTCAGGATGCATGACTTATTAGATAGAAATTTAAAAGTACACACTCAAAGAAATAGTGCAGGCCAGAGAGAGAGAGAGAGAGAGAGAGAGAGAGAGAGAGAGAGAGAGAGAGACAGAGACAGAGACAGAGAGAGAGAGAGAGACAGAGAGAGAGGTATTTCCTGAAAGTGAAACATTTGTGCTTCTCAAGGAAAAGGAGAGGATCGTACCCCCTAGAAGGGTACTGGCCCCTTTACAGGTATGAACCCAAGTATTATTTTTTAATTAACATGGATAATTTAAGTATTCTCTGAATTTTCTTATCTTTGTTTTAGGTTCAAGTTCCTGCTCTTTACTTTCTCAGTGAAGCAAATTTATGGACTTGGTATTCTTAAGGAATTTGAGTGTGATGGGTCTGAAAAGAAAGGAGTCAACCTTAGCCAAGGCAATGCCAGTATGGATCACCGTGGGTAGCTTCTGCTGGTTCCTGGAAGTTTCAGTCTTCTTAAAAGTATAACTTTTAGTTATGATTTTCCTTGTGTCTTTCCTGCCTATTTTATTTCTTTTCTCCTATCTCCAGTGGATCTCAAGAACTCAGGAGATCATGGAGCATGAAGATAAGACAATAATCCTGCTTTATTCTCCCCAGAGTTGCTTTTTCAGGAGCGTAGTAAATAACTCACTGAGCAAATGAGGTTGGATGCAACTGACAACTTTCTGGAGTTGAGATCATAGTGGGATGGAGAGCACGGAGAGAAGCTTGGAACCCGAGAGGCCTGAGTTCAAGGCTCAATTTGGACACTTTGAGTTGCATGATTTTCTCTAGGTACCAGTTTTCTGGTCTTTGAAATGAAGGTGTCAGTCAGATTTCCTTGTGTGAGGAATACACGAAGGTAAGGAGTGGATGAACTGCTATTGGAGGCAGGATATTGGAGGCTTAGAAGCCAGAATGACGAGGAATTCTGCAATGCATTCCCCAAGAGCTCTGCAGTCCGGGGGTGGAGACAGACATAAAGAAGGCAGCACTAATATTCTGGCCAAAGCCAGAATGACAGCTAAGTGATCAAGAAAGGGAAGGACACAGGACAGCACAGCAGCTAAGCATGGCATCATAGTCAGGGCAGATTGATGAAGATCCTGATTCTGCCACTCACTGGTTCTCTGGTCTCGTGGTGACACAGATTTTAAGTTGTGCCCTGATTCCTCTTCTTTTACTCTCACACAGATACAATCCTTAGCCTCGGTGCATGGCTACTGTGCTAAAAATGATCATTCCCCGCATTTCTTGTTGATGGTTATGGATGTGTGAACAAATTCTGGCTGATGGAATATGAGGAAAAAATAAAAGTGGTATGGAAAAGTTCTAGGTTATGTCCTTAAAAGCAAGGGACATGTTTTTCTATTTTTCTTTTATTTCTCTTCTTCCTGGTACTTGGAATCCAGATATGATGCTGGATCTGATTCAACTAACTTGGTACGCAGCAAAAGTGGAGGGCAGAGAATAATATACCAAAAAGACAGAAATTGCCTGTGTCTGTTACCTTGCAAGGTTCTCCGCTCTCCCTGAACAGCTTATTTTCGGACTATTAAGCAAAAGAGAACTTGATTTTTTTTTAATGGTTTTAATCACTGACATTTTGGCTCATTCTTGTATTGTAATTATACTTGTGTCCTAAAATACAAGAAACCTGTGCACATTTATACACAGGATAAATACTTTGTAGAGCTGTAAGAACCAAGCCCTGTCTAGTACATAAAGAGAACTGAACTCAGTATGTAGCATGCCATAAATACTGAGCCACTGTCTTCTGGACACGTTAGCAGTATGTCCAGAGTACACTGTTGACTAAAAATTGCCTTGGTATATATGGTCAGAGTCCGGGGTAGTGGTAGTGGTGGTTGCTATAATTACATTGTAAGCTACTAAAAGACTTAAACTTTATTGTTTGGATACCAGCTCATTGTGCTTAGTATCACACAGGAATTAAGAATACGGTCATCATGCATGTGATACAGTTGGAAAATTCAATTTTTATCAAGCCCTTAAATGGCAAATATTGGAAAAACAAAGATAAATAATGATTTTGTTATCAAGATCATGGCTCAGCACAAATGTTATATAGTATACTAACTTGGAAGTGTGGATGCTAGCTCCAGATTGTCTATTTTTGAATTCTAGCTCGACTGCTTGGTAACTATTAGGTTTTTTTTAATGCAGTTCGGAGACAGAGACAGAGGTAAAACAAAACCTGTATTGCTGGTGTCGAGGGAGGGCTGCAGGATGTCAGGAGGATGTTCAAAAGGGGAAGCTGGGGAACGGCTTTTACCGAGCTTTTACCCAGGGGGTGGGGACCATATCTTGGTGTCAGGAGAAGATTGGAGAACCTTTGGCATGAGCACACTTACGAGAGAAGTGGGAAGTTTATTTTGGCATGGAAGAATACAGAAGTTAGTACTGGAGGGACTCCCTGGTGTTTTAGGGCCCGGTGCCATGTTGGGCAGGCCCCATGCTGAGTGTGGCTGAGTCCTACAGGAGCAGAACCCATCAGTAACCTTAGCAAATGATTTCCCCTCTGTTGAACTCAGAGTCATTCTCTATAATACGGCCACAGTAGTAACACTTACTTCACAAGGATGCAAGAAATAAACCACTCCTAAACTGGCAGGTTAAAACAACATGTGTTTGCTTTGTTCATAATTCCTCAGACTGACAATTAAGACTGGGTTCAGGGTGTGATTCTTCCAGTCAAGATGTGCTCCCCTATACACCTGCGGGCAGCTGCAAGCTGGTTGGACCAACCACGGGTAATAATGGCACTGAAGCCATTTCCTTCATACTTTAGGCAGCCTTGCAAAGTTTGTGCTCATCATGGAGGAGATTTCTCCTGAAAGGAGACATGCAAAAGGTCTTCTAACCTTGACATTAAACTGACATGCTGCTTTTCTGCCACATTCTACTGGTCAAAACTGGTAGATTTTCAGATCCCCGAGGTGGAGAACCAGCCTCTATGTTTTGATAAGAGGAATAGCAAAATCATTTTGGGAGAGTGTGCATATTGGGAAGGCCATTAATTGGAACTATCGAAGCAATGAATTTGTTCTGGTCTGTCCTCTGGTCCCAGTTATTGGAGCATCTCCTACCGCACACTGTACTTTCCCAAGACCCTCCAAACCTCATCTATTCACAGCATCAGAATCAGTATCAGGTCATCTTTGAGTGTGCCTCCTTTTGATTAGGAGGGTTTTGAATTGGGACTTGTTTCTACAAGTCTTTTGTCCCTAGAGACTCAGCATATGGGACCTAGCCTATGATAATGAGTCAGTGGACAGGACAACTGTTCACTGGACAAGAAAAAGAATGGGAAGCATTAGCAGTAACTATTTCATAGTAATTCTGAAGTCCTTGTAAATGTTACCAGCTCCCTCCCAACTATAGGGATGGGAAACATGGTATGCTCCATGGTTAGACATTGGCACCCATCCTTCTGAGTGGCTCCCAGTCATTTTGTTCTGCAAAGTTTTTATTCCACCTTTTGGTCTCCTCAATTACCCTGTGAGATTATTTTTTTCTTCCCACCACCTTTAGCTATATTTGAAGTAATAGTCCATGTTAGCGGATGACCGACTTTCTTAACCTACTTCTGCCTATATAACTCAGGTGACTCAGCCCTTTGTACATTTTGAATAATTTCCAGTCCCTTTTAGTCTAGACCCGCATCACTCCTGAAAGAAGAATGTAATGACTTTATTATTAATCTAATGATTTTATCCTCTTAATTAGATAGATGTTAACAACCACAGTTGTTTTCTAAACACAACTCTCTTGATTTACACACTGCTACTTTGGAATTAGGTCTTTGTAAGATCATGATATAAATATTGTAGAATTATTTGATCCAGAACAAATGGTTTAACTTAATCATGTCAGAGGTTTAACAAGAGGTTACACAGGCATACCCTTGATTATGCCCTTGGTCTGTATTTTACTTTGGTAAAGTAAAAACTTAGAACTGAGTAATTGTTATGTTTTCCATTCCAACAAGTCATTCTGTTAATTAACTGGCCACTCCTTGCTTTGCCATATCTCTTTCTTGATGTCACTTGTCAAATGTGGCTACAAGTAACCAGAAAATATTTACACCTTCAGATATGATTTTCTTGGCTAAATTCTACACTTTCAGATATATTTTTAAATTACCTGTCTGCCTGTCTATCTATCCTGTATCTTCCTGTCAATGAAAGTTTAAAAAAATAACAGCACCCCTGGAAATAATTTGCATACTGCAAAAAATTACTCTTCAAATTGTGTATTTCTATGATTGTCCAGCCATTGCCACTCTCTAATTTTAGAACATTTTTGACTCACTCAAACTCGTGTACCACAAGCAATCATTCCACATCCCTCTGTTTCTTCAGCTCTTGGCAAGCATTTATCTAATTTGTTTCTTTATATTGACCTATTTTAGCTATTTCATATAAATGGAATTCTATAATAGGTGTCTTTTGTGACTGACTTCTTTTATTTAGTATAAAGTGAAAGAGTAACAGTTTTGCAAATAGTTTTAGTGTTACATATTACTAGTTACCACTCTTCTAGCTTTGAATACAATTTCTCCATCATGTCATAGTCTTTGTTAAAAGTGGACTTACTGATTTTCTGTCATCCACTCTAGCTGCTTTTAAAATCAATACTGCACATTTTAAATTATCAGCATTTCACTTGTGATGCCAATTTTCACTTCATTATTTATTACCAAAATAATATTCCCTAAAAGCAAACTGCCATGTTAATCATTTAGTTCTGTGCATGAATCTACAGGTCTAATTGTGAGCAGATTAGACATGTTTCTGGGGTCAGGTGAATATCAAATAGTTCTGCTGACCTCTCTTGGTGTTAGCTGTCTAGAGGTTTGTCTGACACGAGCTCCTGGGACCACAGATCTTCGTGTGGTGCCTCGTCCTTCGCAGACCAAGTTGGATCCTTCACGTGCTAGCTGGGCAGGGATCCAGGACAGGGCCTGTTGAAGTCCTGGGTTCAGAGCTAACATGCGCACTGATGATTTGGTCTTATTCTACTTTCCAGAGCTAAACGAGAGGCCAGTCTAGAATAGAAGGATTGAGAAACAGATATTGCTCTGGACAGGAGGAGCTATAAATTTACATGAAAAAGAGAGACCATTAATTTGGGCCATCATTGCAACCAATGACTGCGACTTTTTAAATTACTGACACCAAATAACCATGGCCAGTTCAGTAAGACTGCTGGAGTTTCTATAATTTCCCTGCAACTGCATTCAGCAATTGTTATTAAACACTTACTGTTTGCTAAGCACTGTGTGTGGTCCTGAAGAGATGGAGATGAAGACATAGAATCTTTCTATAAGTGGCTCATATGCTAAGGAGGGAAATAGACATGTAAACCAACAAGTGCTATATAATATAAATTCAACAGTGTGTCCCAGACAGAAAATGAGTTGATAAATTCTAATCAAGCCTTCAGAGAAAATATGGTATTCAAGTTGGAGAATGA